AAGAGGAATGAAATTAAGTCATTTGCCAGTAAATGGGTGGAATTAGAGAACATCATACTGAGTGAAATAAACCAGAAGCAGAAAGTCAAGGAAGTTCCACGCAGAAGCCATGGAGAAATAGAATTAAAAAAAAGAAAATGTGGGGATCTCATGAAAACAGAAGGGAAAAGTGGAGTAAAGAGGTAGGGAAACAGCAAGAAGGATGAGAAATGGAAAGGAAAGGAACAGTAGAATGAAAGTAACCAATATATGTTATGTGGGTGTAGAAACATATCACAATGAATTCAAATTTTATGTATAAATATAATGTACTAATTAAAAATAAGTAGGCAAAAATTGATCACTCCAACAAAGAGATAAGAGAGCAAATACAGGCAGCCATTGATGATACCAATAAACAGATAAGGAAATAAATGCAGGCATCCATTGATCACACCATCAAAGAGATAAGGGAGCAGATACAGGTAGCAAAACATTACTTCAATAAAGAAATAGAGTTTCTGAAAAAAATATCAGAAATTCTTAAAATGAAGGAAACAATAAACCAAATAAAAAACTCAATAGAAAGCATCGCCAACAGACTAGATCACTTGGAAGACATAACATCAGATAATGAAGATAGAGTATACAATCTGGAAAATAAAGTAGACCACACAGTGAAGATGACTAGTAACCATGAGCAGAATATCCAAGAATTATGGGACAGCATCAAAAGACCAAATCTAAGAGTTATTGGCATAGAGGAAGATACAGAGTTTTAAACAAAAGGAATGTACAATCTCTTCAATGAGATAATATCAGAAAATTTCCCAAGCATGAAAAATGAATTGGAAAACCAAATAGAATTGGCTTACAGGATACCAAATGTACAAAATCACAACAGATGCACATAAAAGCACATTTTAATGAAAATGCCTAGCATACAGAATAAGGATACAATCTTAAAGGCCACAAGAGAGAGGAATCAAATCACATATAGGAGGAAATCAATTTGCATCTCAGCAGATTTTTCAACCCTGACCCTCAAGACAGGAGATTCTGGAACAATATATACCAAGCTCTGAAAGAAAATGGATGCCATCCAAGAATCTCATATCCAGAAAAAACATCAAGATTTAGATTTGATGATGAAATAAAAAACCTTCCATATTAAAAAAAAAAAAAGAATTTACAACTAGAAAGCCTGCACTACAGAACATCCTTAGCAAAATATTCCATGAAGAGGAATTGGAAAACAACAATGAGAATCAGCAAAGGGAGGAATTACACTAAAGGAAAAACTAATAAAAGGAGAAAACAAATCAAGTTAAATACCAACAATAAACACAAATGGCTGGGAATACAAATCATGTCTCAATAATAACCCAGAATGTTAATGGCCTAAACTCACCAATCAAAAGACAGACCAACGAGGATCCAAGATGGCAGGTCAGAGGGAGGCAACATTCTGTGTCACTCCATGACCTGGGTCTCAACTAGTGGGAATACTGCTTTGATGATTGTGACAGAGGACCCCTCCATGTGGATCCCACTCAAGAATCATGGCCACCATGCAGCGTGGGGCCCTAAGCCTTAGCATTAAGGAATCCAAACTCCCAACTATTCATCTATACAGGTCTTGTAGGTGCCTTTGCAAGACCACTGGCATTGCACCAGCACAGAATTCCCAGATACTGCTCCCACAAAGGACACTCTGTTGCTACCCAAGCACAGGAACTCTCGCCGCCACTGCTTTGTGGACTCCTATCTACTAAGATGGGGCTCCTCCGGTAGCCTCCATCTTGGGATTTGGCAGCTACTGCCATAGTCCCCTACTTGTAGTAGCCTGCTTGCACCTGGGGACATCACAGTCTCTGAAGAAAGCCAACAACCTCAACACTGCACACCACAAAGTGCATCTCTGGATGCATTACATAACAACATCTCTTGACCCCACCTCCCCTGACCTGACATCCCATGGCTGAAAGCAGCACCCTCCATCTTGGGTCACCTCCATCACCATCTTTAGTCAGAGCAACTACCACTTTGGAACTAGATAGCCAGGTACTCATAGTTTTCTAATTAGCTCCAACTCCCCTGCAGCTGCTAACTCAGTGGAGTGACTGAACAATACAAAACAGCCCTCCGTGACAGCCACCAGAGTGCAACACATAAGACCCACGGAGAGAAAGTGGGTCTCCACTTTCCTGATTAAGAAGTAGAAAGGGAGAAGGGAGACGGTGAGGGAGATACACTCTAGAAACTAATTTAGAGGGCAGGAACTGTGAGGTCTACAGATGACATGAGAAGATAGGATCTGGTGTCCATGTCATAGGAGCAGATCCCAAAACAAGATGCTTGAGGTGCAGTCTCCCAATGGGACATGTGGGTGCCGTACCCCACTTCTAGGTGCCCTGCACCCAAGACCAACCCTCAAGCCCTAGTAACCCCCACCATCCTGAGGGCAGAGATACCAACTAAGAACAGACATCCCCATCTATTGGATGAGATGGGAAACAGGAAAGACAGTGATTTCCAAGCAAAACAATCATTGTTTCTTCCTTTGAGTTTTTTTTCTTTATTCTTCCTTTTTATTCCCCACCCTCACATCTCCAACATATGTGAAACTATGTACTTTGCATGAATTAGGATATTGAGGACAGAGACAACTGAAAAGTATATTACAGTTGTTTGGTATATTCTTTTTTTCCTTCTTTTTGTTTTTTTTCTCTCCAATTTTTACTATTTTAACATTTTAAAATTTTTCTTAATGTATGTTTGTCTTATGTAATCTACTCTCTTTCCTCTAACTTGTCTACCCAAAATTACTACCTCTCTATTCTTCTGCTACTAACCTTCTTCTTTATATTTCTCTTTCACATTTCCTAAGTAAGATATAATAACTCTATATCCTCATCCCATACCTCCTCAGCATATCTTCTTACACCTCACCCCAGGTTCTTTGTCCATCATAAACTGTAGACCTTTTTACAAACCTATTGACTATATTATATATAATAATTGAATTCACCATTTCTATGCATTATGACCAAACTGTAAATGTTAAATAACATCTATTTGTTTTTAGGTGGTATTTTATTTATATTGGGATCTCTTAACATTGTCCTTCCCCTCAAAGGTGAGGTATTGGAACCCTACAGGGGCACTATAAACCTATAAGGTAAAAACAGTAACCCTTCAGATCCACAGAGCTAGAATAGAAGACACACAAGTAACATGAAAAGACAAGGGAATAAAGTGCCCCAAACAAATCAAGATACCACATTATTAGAAAACATGGCCAGCACAGCAGCACAAATGACAGAGAAGGAGTTCAGTATGTACATAATTAAAATGTTTGGGAATTAAAGGATGAGCACATACAGGCAGCAAAAGATCATTTTGACAAAGAGCTACATAAGGAAATACAAGGAGAAAGAGCTTACTTCAATAGGGAAACAGAGGTTCTAAACACACACATACAAACACACACACACACACACACACACACAAAAAAAAAACCAAATAGAATTCCTTGAAAGGAAAGAAACAATAAACCAAATTAAAAACTCAACTGAAAGCATCTCCAACAGAGTAGACCACTTAGAAGACAGGACCTTGGACAATGAAGACAAAATATATAATCCTGAAAGGAATGTAGACCACACAGTAAAAGTGTTAAGAAACCATGAGTAGAACATTCAAGAAATATGGGATAGCATAAAAAGACCATATTTAAGAGTTATTGGAATAAGAAAGGCATAGAATTCAAACCAAAGGAATGAACAATCTATTCAACTAAATAATATCAGAAATTTTCCAAATATGAAGAACGAATTGGAAAACTAAATTCAAGAGGCTTACAGGACACCAAATGTACAAAATCAACACAGATCCACACCAAGACACATTATAATGAAAATGCCTAACATACAGAATAAGGACAAAATATTAAAAGCCAAGAGAGAAAGAAATCAGATTACATATAGGGGGAAACCAATCACACTATGTACAGATTTTTCAACCTGGACTCTGAAACCTACAAGATCCAGGAACAACACACATCAAGCTCTGAAAGAAAATGGATGCCAACCAAGAATTTTATGTCCAGCAAAATTAAGCTTTAGATTTGATGATGAAATAAAAAGATGAACAAAAGATAAAAGAATTTAAAGCTAGATAACCTATACTACAGAACATCCTTGACAAAATATTCTGTGAAGAGAAAATGAAAAACAACAATGAAAACAAGCATAGGGAGGTAATACTCTAAAGGAAAAGCTAATCAAAGAAAAAACAAGTTAAGTTAAATAACAAAAGTTATTTAATATTTAAATAACAAAAATGGCTAGGAATACAAAACATGTCTCAATAATAACCATGAATGTTAATGTCCTAAACTCACCAATCAAAAGACATAGGCTGGCCGATTGTATCAAAAAAAAAAAAAAAAAAAAAAAGACCCAACAACATATTGCCTTCAAGAGACACAATTCATAGGAAAAGACATACACAGACTGAAGGTGAAAAGTTGGGGAAAATCATATAACTCATTGACTGCGGAAAAAAGCAGGGGTTTCTATTCATATCAAATAAAGTAGACTTTTAACTTAAAGTTAAACAAAAGAGAAAAAGAAGGACATTTCAAACTGTTCAGGGGAACCATACACCAACAAGACATAACTAAATATACATGCCCCAAACATTGGAGCATCTATGTTTATCAAACTTTCTCAAGTTAAGAGTCAAACTGACCACAACACAATATGTATGGGTGACGTCAACACACCTCTTTCACCACTGGATAGATCTTCCAAACAAAAGCTGAAAAAAGAAACTATAGAACTCAATAATACAATTAGTAAGTCAGGCTTAAGTGACATATATAGAACAATACATCTTTCAACAAGCAAATTCACTTTCTGCTCAGCAGCACATGGTTCCTTCTCTAAAATAGACCGTATGTTATGCCACAAAGCAATTCTTAACAAATATTAAAAAAGTAGAGATACTACTCTGCATTCTATCAGATCACAATGGGATGAAATTAGAAATCAATAATAAAATAAAAACTAAAAGCTACTCCAACACCTGGAGACCAAATAATATGCTACTGAATGAACAATGGGTTGAAAAAGACATCAAGGAGGAGATTAAAAATTCTTAGAGGTAAATGAGAACACTGATGCAACATATTGAAATCTCTGAGACACTATGAAGCCAGCACTAACAGGAAAGTATACAGCATGGAGTTCATCCTTAAAAGAAGAAAATATCAACAAATAAATGACCTAACACTATATCTCAAAGCCCTAGAATAAGAAGAACAAATCAACCCCAGAAGCAGAAGATAGGAAATAATTAAAATCTGAGCTGAAATCAATGAAATAAAAACAAAAGCAACAACTGAAAAAATGCACAAAACAAAAAGTTGGCTCTTTTTTTTTAATTGGTT